TTTTTTTTTTTTTGTGGAAAGGAGACTTCATGAAGATAGCCCCGAGACTCATCTGGCTGCAGGCTAAGAAGTAGGTATGTAGACTTGGCTTTCTTCTACTTTTTACAGAGTTCTGCTCGTCGCTCTCTCTCTCACTCAAACACACCCCAGTTTCCTTCCACTCTCTAGACCTCTTTTCAAAAGCTACTTTTCTCAAAGAAATCTCTGTGATCTTTGGAGAAAGGTTAGGTTTTTGCTATGACAGCCCCTGTACTCCTCTCCTATAGCACCTACGACTGTAATTCGCTAAATAATTATGTAACAGTTGTCTTACTAGGGTGTAGCGACAGGCTGTGTCTTATACCGGAGGGCCTACCAGGGTACCTAATACAAAGAACCACAGAAAGCATTTGCACATGCATGCACGTATGCAAAGATGGCAATATTTTAAAAGTTAAACATCGTGTTTAACTTCTTTTTGGATCAATTTTCCGATTACTCCACACAAATACAGTAACTGTAAGCATTTCTTCAAACTTCAATTCCCCCACATTAAACTACATTAAAAGTACAGCCCATGAAATTTACTTCCACGGGCTGAATCTAACAATAAGCCTGCGAAATCACTGGAAATCATTGTGAAAACATACCTGTTTTAGGGACGGAAAAAAGATTGAAGCGTCTTAACTCACACACCCGATATGCAAACAGTCATCCCTATAATCCGATTCCTTAGTTCCTTGTTTCCCACCCACTGGTTATCTTCCTTCCATGGAGGGCAATTTTTACCCCAAATATTTCCCAAAAATACAGCTGAAAAACTGATGGAATTATAGTTAAATCTTTTATCTCGGGTAACTAGAAGCTCTATGTCTGCGCATATGCGCTTGAATAAATCTCAAGGTTTTCAAAAAACGTTAACCAACAAAAGGTACTCATCTTAAAGTCTTCACCTTGAGCTGTCACACCCCTGAAGGGGCGTTTACATTTCACTTCCCCCGATTTTTTAAACGTCCCCTCGGTTTATAAAAACGAAATCAATCAGCTGCCGCGTTTTTTCACAGCAGCCGACAAAGTCGATTTCCCCCTTCCCTTAACGGTAATAGGCGACCTTCCGTGAACTCTGAGGACTTTTCTTTCCTGAAACCACCTTGCCCACGGGTCTTCGACTTGAGCCACGGCTTCGGGGATCAATCACACGTAGCTTGCGAGGCCTACATTTCTGGGCAAGAACCGGGCTAGAAATGAAGAGGGACGCGTTTTTACTTACTCCACAAATGCCCTGGAGCACAGGCAAAGGATCTTACAATCCTCCTCCAGGTCTTCAACGAAGAGAAACATTTCGGCCACGCGGCTCCACTTGTCGCAGCACATTTTCCCACTTCGGAGCAGGAAGCCCTGCTACCAGCGGCACGGGACCGGCCTTCCCGGCCTCTGCTCGGTTCCCGGACACCGAAAAGAGGTCTCGCCGGCGCGCCCGGTGGGGGGAGGGGGGGGCGGGGGAACGTCAGGAGTTTACAATCGGGCCCGGGGTTGCTCGAGCCGGGAGCGAGCAGAGGGGCCGCCACCGGAAACGGCTCCTGGCGGCCCCGGAAGGGGCGGGGCGGCAGGCGGTGCACGGCTTAACGCGGTCCGGGCTGCCGCCGGTGTTTGTCTTTTTCTTCACAGGTTGCTCGTGGGGGGAGAACGCTGGCCGCTGAAATTTCTCCGCTTCCCTGGGTCGCTGAGCCACCGAAGGGCTCCCGCCGCTGCTCGAGGGTGAGGGCGAGCCGCCTCTGCACCTCCCGCCAGAGGCGCGTCGGTCCTCCTCTTGTCCTCCGTTTCCGGCGCGCGGCTCCGCATCAGTCTCGCGGGGCTCTGAGCCGCCAGGACCGCGAGTCTCGTCTCGGTGAGGCAGTCCCGGAGTCCCCGGCGGTTCCCGCAGTACTCGGTATAAGCTCGGGCACCGGAGTGGCGGGGAGGGGTGGCCCTGCCTGGGTCACAACGAGCCCTTT